AGGAATTTGTGGGTGTAGCTCAGTTGCTAGAGTGCATGCTTAGCATGCAGCAAGGCCCAGATTAAATTCCCAGTGCCAAAGCAAACTTCCTTGCCTTCCTCCCTTTCTCTCTCTCTCTCTCCCTCTCCCTGTGTGTATAGATAGATAGATAGATAGATATAGATATACATACGTATAGTATATACATACACATACATATATGTAATTATTATTATTTTAATAAACTAGAGCCAGGCATGATGACTCACACCTGCAATCCCAGCAACTCAGGTGGCTGAGACAAGAGAATCACAAGTTCAAGTCCAGCCTCAGCAACTTGAGACGCTGTCTCAAAATAAAAAATTAAAGGGACTGGGGATGTAATTCAATGGTAAAGCCTAATGGATTCAATCTCTAGCACCAAAACAAACAAACAAAAAACCTAGAAGATACTGCAGTGTCTTGTATGTCATGAGGTGAAGAATCCTTTTGTGAAACTTTCCATTGTGTGTTTCTGGTTTGTATGAGCAGATGAGCATGCGTGTGTGTGCTCGGTTATGACATAAGACACAGAGCCTGTTCTCAGAGAGTGCAGGCACTGTTGCAACTTTCCTGGTTGTTAAAACACTGAACTACTTTACCACCTGGTAAATAGCCACCTCCCCAGTCTCCTGAGTGGTCCCTCTTCCCCTTCAGGTGCTTGATTCAGCAGCTTTGGAGCTCATGCCTGGTAAGGATGAGTGTCCTCTAGGACCCTGGTGCAGAGCTATGGTTCACTCATTGGTCACTACCTTTGCCTTAGTGCATGTTAAATATTTTGACTATATTTCTTATTTGGAGTGAAGCCAGTAAAGTTTGAAAAATGCTGTTGCACGGGAAAGAGCACTGGGGTCCAGACATAGGACACACGCATTCTGGCCAGGCTGTGCCTGCTGGTGATCACCAACTGTGGGACTTTGTGGAACTATCGAGCCTCTCAAGGCCTAAAAAACGAGGATGGTTGTTTATGCACTACCTGCTTCCAGGTAGCAGGGAAAGAGCTTCTCTATTTTGTAACCTGGTGTGTGGGATGATTGAGGTCTGGGAGCCTAATGGTCAGAATTAAAATCTAGACTCTGTCCCTAGTAGCTGTGACTTTGGGCAAGTTGTTTGCTTACTCTGAGCCTGTACCCTGAGTTATAAAGTGGTGCTAATCATAATTCCTACCTCATGAGACTGTTATGAGGATGAAATGAGGTAAGAGATCTAAGGCATGTGGTGAGTTATAAATTGTGTTTATACCACTCTTATTAGGAATAAGCCAGAGGCCTGGTGTGTGGTTGGAACTCAACAAATGTTTGCTGAAATGTTGTTAAAGGACCCTGAATTTAGAGTTGTGCTTTTCAGTAAGGTAGCCACTAGCCACGTGTGGCTATATTAAACCAACTAAAATAGAAGTGACAAGTCTGTTCCTCAATTACATTAGCCACATTCAAGCACTCATAATCAATGTAGCAAGTGGCTGTCAGAGTGGACGGCACAGATAAACATTCCCTCCTCACTGAAAGTTTAGCTGGAGAGCGCCCCAGAGGATGGGGTGAACATGGCGGTGCCTACAAAGAGCACTGAAGGTCGTTGTTTCTGTGCTGAAGGGTGTCCCTAGAGATGGGCACCTCCTCCAAGGGATATGAGGCTTCCTGCTGTTCAGGGTTAGGTAACTGGGTCCAAGTCAGGCAGCTCACTTCTTAAATGTTTAGAGTAAGTCTAAGTGTACGAGCCATGGAAGCAGCCTGCTTGAGCTCATATCCTGCCTTTGCCACTCTCTGAGTGAGTTCTGTGGATTCTCTGTGCTTATGTCATTTATCAGATGAGAGTGACTATGGTTCTGTCTCAGGAGGAATGAGTTGTATGTGCCCTGCTTGGAATTCTGTCTTGAAGGGTATGGCCTTGCTACAGTGAGACCTGGTTTTATATACATCATCGGGTTTTTTTCAGTGTTCCCTATGATAGGTTACTATCAATTATTCACATTTTGCAGATAAGAAGATAGCCACAGAGATTACTAACTGGCAGAGATTACACATGGCTCTTAAGTGGCAGGGAAGGGTTCCAGACTCTAATATCTTGCCTACCACCTGGGAAAGAGAGGCGTGGGGATAAGTTAGGAGTCTCTGTTGGAAGCATGAGGGCCATCAGAAGGGGCAGCATGGAAGGAGATCCCTGTCTCCTTGGGTCTTCCTGTCCCTCTCCTTTACTTTCAGGGACCCTAACCTCAAAGAGAAGTACCGAGTGGGGCTGAACCGAATTGCTGCCCAGGAGGTACCCATTGAGATCAAGCTGGTAAATCCACCCACCCTGAGCCAGCTGCAGAGAATGGAGCCCAAACAGATGTTCTGGGTGCGAGCCCGGGGCTATATTGGTAAGAGGACCCATGGATTGGAGGAAAATACTCTCCAGGGGTCTAGGCCTGCCATTTATTTGTCCTGTGTGGCTTTGGGTATGTTACTTCCCATCTCTGGGCTGGTTTCCTTATCTGCATGATGGGGAGAATGGGTTTGTCACTGGAATTTCATTGTAGGACCTTTCTGGAGAAGTAAGACGACTTGTTGAGGTTCTTATAGATCTGTTAACCATAAGGTACCTTTGTGCACACTGGAAGATGTCCCTTCCAGGACTCAAAGCGGGAGACTTGGGAAGACTGGATTTTAGTCCTTGCTTGCTCCCACCCTCCTCCATCTCCACCTCCTTTGTCCTTACACACACACACCATGGGCCAGGTGTAGTGACCAGCCTACACATCTGTGCCTGGAAGTCCCTTTTTCTCCCACCTCCCTGCAGGTCCTGAGCTGAAAAGCCCAGGATCCCAGGGCTGATGGGGCTGGAACCTGTTGCAGGGGAGGGCGACATCAAGATGCACTGCTGCGTGGCCGCTTATATCTCAGATTATGCTTTCCTGGGCACGGCACTGCTGCCCCACCAGTGGAAACATAAAGTGCACTTCATGGTCTCTCTAGACCACTCTATGTGGTTCCATGCCCCCTTCCGAGCCGACCACTGGATGCTGTATGAGTGCGAGAGCCCCTGGGCCGGTGAGTGTGGGGCCACGTGGGACAAGGGCACCAACTTTGGGGTGGTAGGGCTCCTGCTTTCTTGGGTGATGCTCTCTCCTCCCCAATTCCAGGGGGACACTGCACAGGTCACTTCCTCTCCTGCCCCTCCAGGCTTTGGCTATTCATCTTCAAAATGGCAGAGTAAGCAAGTGTCAGCTCACACTTTCTATAACATGTTGGGACTAGGATTCACTTTGTCCCAGAGACTCAGTTCTAGTCCCCAGATCACTTCAGATTCTTTGTATGAACTGGGATAAATCGTGTCTCTCCTGTGAGCCTCAGTTTCCCCATCTAAACAGATTATTCCACATATGAGGTCAGTGGTGACCCATCAGATTGCTGCTTGAGGGGGAGCTTTTTAAAAATAGACTCTAATTCTACCAAGATTCTGACCCAGCAGGTCTTAGATAAGGTCCAGGAAACTGAATTTTTGGTACTGGGAATTGAACTCAGGGGCACTCAACCACTGAGCCACATCCCCAGCCTTACTGTATTTTATTTAGAGACAGGGTCTCACTGAGTTGGTTAGCATCTTGCTGTTGCTGAGGCTGGCTCTGAACTCACAATCCTCCTATCTTAGCCTCCCAAGCTGCTGGGATTACAGGCGTGCACCACTACACCTAGCCAGGAAAGTGAATTTTTAATAAGCCTCCTAAGTGATTCTGCTGATTGATGGTTGGGGGTCAGGGTACTTAGGGTCTCTAAGGGCCTCACTACTTGGACATTCCTTGTAGGGAAGGAGAAAACCCCTATGCAGTGTCTAGCTTTAGAACAGTGGATTCCTTCCCAATGAAATTCATTTTGAGTGAAGAAAAGCTCTGCTTTATAAACAGGGGCAAAGCTCAGGAACTCTTTACCTTCTGGGGAGGGGTTCTCTCAAGGACCAGCGGCATCTTAGTACATGATTAACCACCTCGAGGGCTGGGGATGTGGTTCGGTGGTAGAGCACTAGCCTGACATGCCTGAGACTATGGACTATGGGTTCAATCCCCAGCACTGAAAAAAAAGAAAAAGAAAAAAAAAATGACCTTAATGTTAGGACACCTGCGTTCAGGATTGGCCTGCTCCTGGAGCCAAGTTCCCTAGCCTCTTTGGACTTGAGCATCATTGTCAGGAAAGTGGAACAAGTGAAGGCGATTTCATTTCTCTATTGTGAACTCTGCTGTGATGTAGGAAACCAGCAGTTCTGTTCATGAACATGAAACTAAGGCCCAAAACCAACAAGGTGAAAGCCTCTGGGCAGGGAGGGGTGGAGACCAGAAGACTCCAGGTCACCTCCCCTAGGCATCTTCCCATTGGCGGTGGCAGTGCTGGTGGTTTCTCATGAATTACCGGTTTGGAAGACTTGGCATGGTTATTATAAAAGGAACCAGTGGGTTTCCTCGCACAGCAGCCAGGGCTGCCACATCTGCTTGGCCAAGCTATTGGAGACTTCTCAGAGCTCCTCCCCTGGTGATCTTTTTGCAGAAGAGCAGGGACATGTGAAAGGGTTTTTAGACGTCAGGTGGAGTTTCTCTTGTAGGAGAACCCCAGTGACTGCCCGTAATAGGCTCAGAAAGGGACCCTTGGAGCAGTCACAGCATTCAGTGTGCCCTCCTGTGGGGTAGCCTTGTTCTGCCCAAACCCTTTGCAAGAAGTGCGTTTGGCTGCGCTGGAGCAAAGAAGGCTGTTTTCACCCCTCTCCTCACCCACAGGTGGCTCTCGGGGGCTAGTCCACGGGCGGCTGTGGCGTCGGGATGGGGTCCTGGCTGTGTCCTGTGCCCAGGAAGGCGTCATCCGAGTAAAGCCCAGAGTCTCAGAGAGCAAGCTGTAGCCAGAGGTATCAGCTTGCCTGGGTCTTCAAGGCTCTCCCTTCTACCACCATTCCTGAGGTGGGGCTATGTGGAGGGCTGGACCTTCTGCCCCTCACACTTAATAAAGAGACTGACACCATTGGAGTGGCTGGCCTTTAATTTCCCTGGGCCAAAACTACAGCCCTTCTTCTGGCTCTCAACTGCAAGACTTCAGCCAGGCTGCCTTGCTGGCTTGGAGGCCAAGGAAAAGAGCGCGTTCAGCCTGACTTGGCTGCGAATAAGCTGGAGGGGCTGTGTCAGCCTTCCTCCATGTACCATTCCCTGGGTACCAACCCCCAGCCAAAGCTTGTCCTGAGCCCATCTCAACAACAACATTTCTTCCGTCCACTGCAAATTCTCTGTGGAACTTCTGAGGGCTCTCAGTATGCAGCCTTCTAGCTGCTTTCCATGTTCTCCTCTTCAGTCCCCTGCCCCCCCAAATCCTGGGGCAGCCCTTCTCCCCACAGTGGCCTTAAGACTAGCCAAGGGTTATCCCAGCACCTCCTTGATGAGCAATTCTTTGAGACTGGGGGGTGGCGTGGGGGTAAGGCCTGCTTCCTGCAGGGCCTGGAGCCGGGCCTCTGAGTGGCGTTTGTCCAGGCCCAGACGCCAGGAGAGCCGGACATGGGCCTCTAGGAAGGGTGCCAGGAAAGTATGGGGGCTCTTGTCTCCCAACAGCTGCAGGGCCTTCTCACAGCAGGCCCGGGCCTCCACAGGGTCCTCCAGCTCCTGGTGGCACACAGCCAGCCCAGCCAGGGTCAGCAGAGGACGATCTGGGCCAGAGGGGGCATCCAGCTGGGTCTGCAGCTGCCAGGCATTGGCCCAGAGCGCCAGGGCCTCACGATAGAGGCCAGTACAGGTGAGGCTCTGTGCCCGCTGGAGCTCTGGCAGCACGAAGAAGTCCTGCAGGTCTGGGGCATGGCGTAGCTCAGGCACCGCCTGTAGGTGGCCCAAAAACTGTTCAAAGGCTCTGCTACGGCGGGCAATCGTCTCTGCGGTAAAATTCCGGCGCAGGCGCTTACGGGGGAAGGAGATGGCAGCCATTGGGCCCCGGAATTGCCGCTGCAGATTTCGGTGCAGCCGCTCAAAGTCTGAGTAGCGGCGAGAGATCTGGGCGGGCTGGCGATCTGGTGGCCCTGGACCCATCACGGCGAGGGTGTAGAGCTGCAGGAAGGGCAGGGGTCAGGGCAGGGGCAAACTGTCCACCAGCCTCTTCCCTCCCTACTCCCATCCCAGCTCTGATCCCCCACCTCTTCCCTTCCTCTGGGACTGGACCCAGGAGGGTGGGGCAGTGGCTTAGGAGGCCCACTGGCATCTTACCTGAGGCTTGTCTGAAATGACCCAGGCCCAAGGCAGCACACGGAAAGAAAGAGAGATGAGCTTCAGTGCTTGGGGCTGCTACCCCTACTCCCACTTCAGGAAAGTCACCTCTTCCCATGGGACAGTTAGTTCTTCTGATGGCCCTCGGAAAACCAGGGATGAGCTGAAACCCAGATCAATCTCTTGGGGCTGAGCCAACTTAAGGACCAGCTTGGAGCAGTGTTCCACTATGCACAGAGCCCCCAACACACACAGGGATGGAGAGGCTATTCCAAACCAGAGGGAGGACAGGTCCTCAGACTTCTCTAAGAGCAATGGACCAGGAGTTTACTGGATTAGGATTCAAGTGCTGACCCAAGGTCAGCCTCTCTCCTTCCCTCTGTGACCGCAGGCAAGGCAGTCTACCTCTGGGTCTACTTCAGTCTTTAATGAATGAACAAGTGCAAGTGTTGGTACATGAGGGTTTTTTTTTTGGGGGGGGGAGGGGTAACTGGGAATTGAACCCAGAGGTGCTTTACCACTGAACTACATCCCCAGCCCTTTATTTATTTGTTTTTGGTGCTGGGGATTGAATCCAGGGGTGCTTTACTAATGAGCTACATCCTCAGCCCTTTTTATTTTTTGAGACAGAGTCTCACTAAGTTGCTTAGGCCTTGCAAAATTGCTTAGGCTGGCCTCAAACTTGCAATCCTCCTGCCTCAGCCTCCTGAGCCACTGGGGTTTTAGGTGTATGCCACTGCACCTGGCAAGTACATGAGTTTTTAAAGATGGTATACCAGAGTATACTGCATCAGATATGGGAGGTGATTCCTCTCTTTAATTTTCTTTTTCATCTTTTTTTATCTGAGAAAAGCATCTCCCTTTGTTGCCCAGGCTGGCCTCAAATTCCTGGGCTTAAGCAATCTTCTTGCCTCAGGCATTTGAGTAACTGGGACTACAGGTGTGTGGTACCACTCCTGACTTCCTTTTAAATCTCTGACTGTAAACTGAGAAGCTCTCAGTTTGGGTTTTATTTATTTATTTGTTTGTTTGTTTGTTTGTTTATTTATTTTCTGGTACTGGGGATTGAATCCAGGTGCTCTACCACTGAGCTACCCACCCCCCAGCCCTTTTTATTTTTTGAGACAGGGCCTTGCTAAGTTATTAAGGGTCTTGCTAAATTGCTGAGTCTGGTATTGAACTTCTGATCCTCCTGCCTCAGTCTCAGTCCCTGGGATTACTGTGCCAGGCTTCAGGTTGGTTTTTAAAAGGCAGTTCTCAGGTCAGGATCTTTTTTCAGGTGACAATATGGCCTTGAACTTGCAATATTCCTGCCTTAGCCTCCTGAGTCAACTGCATTACAGGCATGCACTATGACACCCAGCTGGCTTAAAATACTCATTATTTTATGTAATCCTTATAATGTCCCACCAACACAGGGAATAATGATATAGTTCCATTAACTGAACACTTACCCTGGGCCTTGTACTATACCAAGCACTTTTCCATCTATGATTTCATTTAATCACAACAGCATTTCAAGGAAGGTGTGTCCTTATCTCTGTCAGCAAAGAAGCAGGCTCAAAGAGGAGGTAAAGGCCTCAAAGACTTGCCCCAAGTACCACAGCTGGCGAATGGCCTAGCTGGCATTCAAACCCAGGATAGGATTTGATAGGATTCTAAAACCTCTGCTTGTCACCCTCCCCACAGGTTATATGGAAACTCAGGGTGCCCATTGAACAGAGGAGGTGACTTGCTTCTCCATAGCTGGGATAAAATAGTTGCCATTCTACTTTTTTTTTTTTTTGGTCATTTTCTTCCCATCTGGGTACCCAGAGTCACCTCCATTCCTTCCTATTCTGAGCTGCTTGCTCCTTGATGACTGATCTTTGGTATTCCTTTCCTGTGTATGACCCCTTGCCCACTCCAGAGTTCTGGGACCTTTTCCACTTAAGATTGGACCATCAGGGGCAGCAGGGTAGCTCAGTGGTAGAGCACAGACTTGGCATGCAGAAGGACCTGGGGTCAGTCTCCAGTGTGCACACACAAAGGCTGGATCATCAGAGTCAATCCCTGCTCAAATTGGAACAGCCACCCCATGGGTGTGGCCTTTGTTAGTAACAGCAACAGAGAGGAGTGGAGAGGCCCAAATGTGGGACAGGCTCTGGGCCCCCTTCCTGCTGAGTCAGAGATAGAGGAGGGTAGTGAAGATGGAGTGAGAAGCAGGGAGCTGCCACTGTCGGGAAGAGTCACCCACTGGGCTGCAGGCTCCACGGGGAGCAGAACCTGGCAGCCCTCATTCTGCATGTCGGTTTCTCCCTCCACAGCAAGGAAAACAGACCAAGGCCCTCTCTGCAGCTGTTCTTCACCCTAACCCCTACGGAACCCCCTATTCCACACAGGATTCCATGCAGAACAGTAGGATTATTCCACACAGGAATAGATTCACTTGAGTTATGAGGGGGCCACAGCAGGCCCTAGATGCCTGACATTTCCAATCCAAAGTTAAATAAGACTTGATTCAAAATGCTTGGGTCTGGAAGTGTTTCAGATTTTGGATTGTAGAATCTTTCTATACATAATGAGGTATCTTGGGGATGAAACTTAAATATAAGTTCAAAATTTATTTATACTGTGTGTGTGTGTGTGTGTGTTGCTGGGAATTGAACCTAGGGTATCCTGAGCATGCTAGGTAAGCGCTGTATCTCTGAGATACACCCTCAGTCTGTTTTTTTTTTTTTTAATATTTTTATTTTTTTGTGGTGCTGAGGATCGAACCCAGAGCCTTACATATGCTAGGCGAGCGCTCTACCAACAGAGCTATAACCCTAGCCCTCAGTCTGGTTTTATTCAGTATTTTAGTGTGTCTGTATTTTGACTGTCAGGTGTGGAATTTAAATTGTAGCATCATGTTGACACTCAAAAGTTTCAGATTCTGAAGTAATGTGGAACCTGAATAGCTACCATCTTATTGAGCACCTCATAATGCCAGGCACAATGTTAAGGGCTCTTTTTGCATTGTCTCCTTTAACTCCTGCTCTAATCCTCAGCATTATCCTCATTGCTCAGATAATAAACCTGGGGGTTGACAAAATCACACAGCCCACCCAAGGTCAGACAGCTGGTAACGAAAAGTGAGATGTGAATCAAGGCTGACCTGGGTCCAAAGCACCTTTCCTTGACCACTAACCTGTGGCTCTCAAGTCTGTGTCTCACCACAGTTTGCAAAAACCTTGGGGAAAGGTGGAAGCACACATACCAGTTCTCAAAACTGGGACAGAAAGCAGGTCCTTAATCTACCACTTCACTCAGTCTCAGAGAAACTAAGTCATTTGCCTGAGGACTTGCTCAACTCACATAAAGTCACATCCCCTTTCTGGCCTCAGTTTTCCCATCTGTAAAATAGGGCAGCCACTTAGAACTACACAGCCAGAACTTCCATCAAGTTCGAATCTTCCCTAGTTTTTTTCCCCAGACTCACAGCCCAGGTGTTCCTGGAACCTCACTCACCACGTACTTGGAGGGCGGGTCCTTGACAACATTGGCGCTGGTCACCTCAAAGAGCAGCCGCTGGGGTACTAGGGTGTTCCGGGATTTCTTCCAGAAATCTTGTAGCTGCCGGGCCAGGAGTTGACTGCCTCGCTGCCCATCGGGTGGGGGGCACCGTTCTGCACAAGCACATGACCAGTCATATCAAAGGACCTCAGGTCAACATACACGGTATGCCATGACCTCACTCATCTAAGGTGAAGTAGGCGTTATTCCCCATTTTTAAAGAACTGAGGGTCAGAGAGGCACCTGGTACCAAACACCAAGCCCGGCTGACAACATCCCCAAAACATGGCTGGCACATCATTTCCATCTCTATCCCAGGTCCCGCGCACTTAATAGGCTTAAAAACCCTGAGATGGAAGTGATGTCTCTCATTTGACATAAGGGAACTCTTGGATCTAAGGGGTGGTGACTCTCTCAAGGTCACCGGGCTAAGACATCGGAGGCGCTGCAGGCAGTGTCGGCGTGTCAGCTGGCTCAACTCAGCGCCCGGGATGCTCTCCACGGCCGGACGGAGGCCCAGCTACCCCAGCGTTCCCGACTCGCGCCTTCCACACTTGCCTGGCCCTTCTCCCGATGTTCTGTCCCCGGGAGACGGCGAGTCGGGGCCGGCCTCCTCGTCGTCCTCGTCCTCGTCGTCCTCCGCGCTGGTAAAGCTGAGGGTGCCGCTGAGACGGGAGGACAGGCCCTCGGCGTCGTCGTCCTCCAGCTCGGAGGTCTCCGGGAACTGCTCGGCCTCCGGGCCCGCCGCCGCCTCCCCGGGGCCCTCGCTGGCCAGGGCGTGCCGCAGCCGGTGCAGGAGCCGCGAGGCCATGGCACCCGGGGGGGAGCGGGCGCCACCGGGTCCAGGGCGGGGTGGGAGGAGGACCCCCGCCCCGCGGGAGAGCAAGGGCGGGGCCCAGGCCGGAGGAGGAGGAGGGGCCTGCGGAGGCCCCGCCCCCGGCCGCTGCGGGCGCCGCCAGCCCCGGGGTCCCTCGCTCCCTCCCGGGGTCCGGGGGCCCTGGTCCCGCCTCTCTCTCCCCGTCACGCGCCCCTGCCTCTCGCGTTCGGGGTGAACTCCCGGGCGCCTCTCCGAGGGGTCCCGACGCGGCCCGCGGCTTAGCGAGGCTGACCTGCCGGGCGGCTCCGGCCGCGGCCGCTTCCTGCCGCCGCCCGCCTCGGCCCCGCCCGCTCCCCGGGCTCCCGGGAATCCGGCCGCCGTCCACGGGAGACCTGGGAGTCCTGGGCCGGCGGCGGAGCCCCGTCTCCCCGGGCCAGGCGCGCGCCTCCAGGAATCCCCGGAGAGCCCCAGGGCACCCCAGTTTCCCCCCGGGCTTCTCCAGCCGCCCCGCCCTGGACTGGGGATGACCGAACCCCGGGGCTCTACCGCTGGCCTGCACCCCGGCCCTGTTTATTTACCTATTTTAAAACTTGGAGATGGGTCTCGCTAAATTGCCCAGGCTGACCTTGAACTTGTGACCCTGCTGCCTTCGCCTCAGCCTCACGAGTAACTTGGATTACAGCGCAGGGCATCTGGCACTTATTAATTTTACAATGTGATTATGCGATTTAAGGGATCCCATTTCTCTGGTGAAAAAAATCAAAGTCTTCGGTTGGGCTCTAACGTCACTAAGCCATGACCTCATAGAGCCTAAAATTTCTTACGTAGAACGGGAACAATAAGAAGCATTTTCTAGTTTTGGCTTATTGTTTGTTACTGTGTAGGCTCTGGAGATTGAGCCCAGGACCTTGTGCATAGCAGGCAAGCAGTCTACCACTGAGCCACACTCCCAGCTCCCGGATTTTACAGCTTTTTAAAGAGCTTTAGTCTAGTGCCTCACACAGGGCAATTACACAAGGATCATTGTTTCTGCAGTGTTCACAGACTTTCACAATCTCATTTGCGCCTCACACACGAGAAATAGGCACGCTGGGAAACAGCCAGAGAGGCTGAGTTGCTTGTCCAAGATCACACAGCTTCCTGCAGGTTTCTGCACATTGTTCTTTTCCCAGGCATTGATCCTGGTAACCTCAGCAGCTTCTCTGGAGCTCTGTGGTTTATCTTTTACCGCAGGGTAACTGTAGGTCAAGAAAAATTTCTTGTTGTTTCCTTTCAGAAGATCTAGATATGAGTCCCTAGCAGGGCAGATTTTGTTAGTTCCACAATAAAACAAAATCTCTTTGGCAGCACCTCCTATATTTGAGTGACACAGGAGAGAGGGTTGGGGAAATACTTTTGAATGAGAACCGCCCTCCCTGGCCTCCATAAAGCAGAAGGTTCTCATCTTTCAGTTCCACTGTGTTCTACATCCAGTTCTAGGTTCTTTGCATATTTTCATGTCTCACCCTCACAACATCCTGGGGAGGTGGGATGGGCAATCGTGGTCCATTCTGAAGATAAAGAAACTGAGGCAAATTCACTTCCCCAAGATCCACCTCTGGGAAATACGGGAGCTGAGATTTAAGTTCAAGTCCATAATTTCAGAGATTTAATTCCTCTTCCTTTGGCTTGCAGGTAGGATGTTGGGATAAAAAAGATGCACTTCATTTATTCACTCAACCCTCACTCACTCATCAACTGTGGCTAAATATCAACTTGTCCTTGGCATATGTCTCTCAAGTCTGGCTGTAAAACTGGTGCTCATAAACTCAAGGCTATCAGAGCAGGAGGGTCCTTCAGAAATCTGTCCTGTCACTTCCATTGACAGGTGGATCGACTAAGGCTTAGTGAGGGGAAGGGACTTATGCTTCATTATATAAACAGGTCAGAACAAGGAGCTCTCTTGACGTCTCCACCATTTAGATGCTGCATGGCATTTCCCCACAGCCTCCCTAAGAGATGGGTATTCGTCTCCACTTGTACATACTCAGTGACATTACCTCTTGAAGCCAACCGTTCCTGTTATGGTTCAGCCATGACGGTTAGGAAGTTCCTCCTTCTAAAGAATCAAATGACATTCAGTTCAGGTTTTTTTTTTTTTTTTTTTTCCCCTGTGGTGCTGGGATTGAACCCATGGCCTTGTGCATGTGATGTAAGCACTCTACCAGTGAGCTATATCCCCAGCCCTACTCTTTTTTTTTTTTAATGCTTTTATTAGTGCATTATAGTTATGTGTAATAGTGGGTTTGGGTTCATGGTTCAACTGTTTAGTTATTCTTATACAGAATACAGTATTAAACCCTGCTCAGTACCCGCTGCAGGTGAAGCCAGATTTAAAGATAGGTAGTTAGTGTAGTTGGGTAAATCGGGTCTAATATCCAGTAAGATAAAGAAAATGGAGGCCATTATTGAAAATGAAGTCCAGGAAACCAGAGCAGCACTTGGGGACATTGAAATGTTAATGTCCCCAAGGGCCAGAACCCATCCTAAGGAACTGCTGATGAAACAGCTGCCAGCAAACTGGGAGGTGCTGGTCAGACCGCCCCAGCCTTCCTGCCCAGAGGACTCCTCCAGCCCACCTGTCTCCACCTCTGCCTTCCCACCTGCATCCCATCACTGCAGGACGGAGGGAAACAAAGTTCAGGGGTGTGGGAGGACTAACAGGAGACCTTAGCTGTAAAAGAGGGAACACCTCCCCTTCCACGGATTCAGCCTTTTGGTCCCCTTCTTCCTCCAGGAGAAGTCTTTTCTGCTGTCCTTTAATAAAGCTTCTACTTTCCACTCTACACTTGCCTCCACGTGCTTCTTGTGCTGAATTTTTTCTTTTTCCAGTATTGGAGATTGAAGCTAGGGCCTTCTGCCTGCTAGCTAAGTGCTCTACCACTGAGCTATACCCCATCCCTTTTCTTTTCTTTTTGAACTTTATTTTGAGATAGGGTCTTGCTAAATTGTCCAGGCTGGTCTTGAAGTTACGATCCTCTTGCCTCAGCCTCTCTAATAGCTGGAATTACAGGAGTTTACCGCCATGTCTGGCGTAGGTCCTGGGAGTCTTTTTTTGTTTTTTGTACTGGGTATTGAACCCAGGGCACTTACCCACTGAGCCATATCCCCAGCCCTTTTAATTTTTTATTTTAAGACAGAGTCTCACTGAGTTGCTTACGGCCTTGCTAAATTGCTGAGGCTGACTTTGAACCTACAAGCCTCCTGCCTCAGCCTCCCGAGCTGCCAGAATTATAGGTGTGTGCCACCGTGCCTGGTGAGATTTGATGTTGAACAAGAAATTTTCTCTGGCCATGGAACTCAGAATCGGTTGCGATCCTGATGAAGTCAATGTTTTTGCTGCTGTGACCAAAAGACCTGACACGAGCCAGGTGCTGTGGTACACACCTGTGATCCCAGTGGCTCAAGAGGCTGAGGCAGGAGGATCACAAATTCAAAGCCAGCCTCAACAATTTAGTGAGGCCTTAAGAAGTTTAGTGAGGCCCTGTCTCAAAATAAAAAAAAATAAAAAGGGCTGGGGATGTGGCTCAGTGGTTAAGCACCCCTGCGCTCAATCCCTGGTACAAGAAAACAAAACAAAAACAAAAGAACCTGAGAACAATTTCAGAGGAGGAGAACTTCACTTGGTGCTCAGGGTTTCAGAGATCTCATCTATAATGGAGAAGTCCACTGCTCTGGGTCTGAGGTGAGGCAGAACGTCATGGTGAAAGAGTGTGGAGGAGGAAAGCAGCCCAAACATGGCCACCAGGAAGCTCTGCTCACAAGGACGAAATTCAAACCCAGAAAGGCACACCCCCAGTGACCGCCTCCTCTAGCCATTCCCTTCCGCCATGAGGTTCTGCCTTTTCTTGGGCCTAGAGCTATGGAGGAGTTGGCCTCTCAAACTGTGAGCCCCAAATAAACTTTTCCTCCTCCATGTTGCTCTTGTCAGATCTTTGGTCACAGCAACATAAAAGCTGACTAAAATAGCCGGGCACAGTGGCACATGTGACTCGGGAAGCTAAGGCGGGAGGATCACGAGTTCAAAGCCAGCCTCAGCAAAAGTGAGGTGCTAAGCAACTCAGTGAGACCCTGTTTCTAAATAGAATAGAAATAGAGCTGGGGATGTGGCTCAGTGGTCGAGTGCCCCCGAGTTCAATGCCTGGTACCCTCTTCCCCACAAAAATTGGACTAAACAGATTCTAAGGCATGTTCAGTGCTCTGATTGAGGGAACTACTGGAGACCACCTTGGACCTCCAGGCTGGGTGTAGGGAAGGGGAAACCTGGAGGAAGTGATTTTTTTTTTCTGGGCCTGGGGATTGAACCCAGGGGGACTTTATCACTGAGCTACATCCCAGCCCTTTTTAAAATTTTTCATTTTGAGACAAGCTCTTGCTAAAGTTGCTCAAGGTCTTGCTAAAGAGTGATACTCCTGCATCCCTGAGTTGCTGGGATTACAGACATGTGCCACCGTGCCCACTAGAAGATGTTAAAACCGAGAAAGATGACAGGTAAGCAGGCAGGTGAAGAGAAGGAAGATGGGCATTTCTGGCATCATATGCAAAGGCCCTGGGGTTCATAAAAGGTGGTGTTCACGGCCATGTTTAAGTCTGACTAGAGGAGAGCAACCTGCAACTGAGGGAGGAGAGAAAGAGGAAGATTGCAGAGACAGTGAGTGGGACCTTGCTCAGTCACACTAAGGAGTTTGATCCTTATCTATTTCTCTGACTAAACCTAAGAATAAATTAACGAATAGTGATTGAGGAGGGTTCCAGACCTTCTGTTCCAAAGGAATCGAGTGGTTCCAGTGTTTCTTGTCCAAATTGGAATCCCGAGTAGCAGTCCTTGGCCCTGCCTGGCGGGAGGCCTTATTTAGCCTGGCTGGCTCCTCGAGCTTTTCTTGGGAATGTCTATATATAGGGGCAGGGGGCAGCCCAGTTGCCACTGTCCATCTGACTTCCCCTGTGTCCAGTCTCCCTTTCCTGGCCTGTCCCTGCTCTTGGTGTCCCAGTGCTCCTCCTGTTGCCTCTGCCACTGTCTATGAGCCTTGCTTTTTACTCCACCCGGCCTAGCATGAACCTAAGGGTTCTCAGGTGGCTTCCTTGGACTAGGTCCCCCACCCCCACTTCTCCAGAGGGCTACCTGAGCTCCTCCACTTTCTTCTGAGCTCTGGGAAGGGGCCAGCTCTCCCTTTACCACTTAGAGCACTTTCTTCTACCTCCCCCAAAGTGAATCTCAAATCCCCTTTCCCTGGAGAAAGGTAACTTGAGAGAAGAATCTTTGTTTTCAATGCTTCTTTCTCCAAAAGCATACCCCTTTTCTCCTTTAGCCCTCTGTATCCTCCTCCCTCTGAAGGGTCCCCTGAGGACTGTCCCACCTTCTTCCCAGTCAGGATTAATAAGAATTGCCAAATCCAGGTGCACCGATATGACTGTAGTCCTAGCTACTGGGGGGGCTGAGGCAGGAGGATCGCTTGACCCCAGGAGCTCTAGGCCAGCTGGATAAATAGAGGCTCCATCTCAAAGAAAGACTTAAAAAGAAAGAAAAAATGTCATCATTTCTGTAGATCTTTATGATTTACTATGACTTACAAAGTCCTCCAGGCACTTGGGGCTTGTAATAGCTGCCACCTCATAGGATGAGGTCATGTGGTTAAAATGCTTAGTACAGTGTGTGTCATGTGGTAGAAGTTCAATCAACGGTAGCCTCCCCATCACTCTCCTCTTACCACTACCATGTCCCCTACCACTTAATATGGTTCAAAGATATGATCTTTCCCTTGCTGAGCACCGGCCCTATGGACCTGGCACCAGTAGGTGACTTATACCTGGACTCCCATTTGCCATACTCTTTTCTTTTTTTTTTTTTTTTGTACCAGGGATTGAACCCAGGGGCACTTAGCCACTGAGCCATATTCCCATCCATATATATATATATATATTAGAGACAGAGTATTCTGGGTTGCTAGGGCCTTGCTGAGTTGCTGAGGCTGCCTTTGAACTGGTGATCCTCCTGCCTCAGCCTCCTGAGCGGCAGGGATGACAGTGTGTGCCACCACACCCAGAGGCCATGGTCTCTTTATGAGGAACCATGAGGAAAGGAGGCTCATAGGGTCATCACCCAAGGTCAGGCAGCTCGCAGAGGCAGGCCTGGGTCTCGAATCTTGAACTTCAAGCTGTGTGCTCTTCCCATCCCACCGTGCTGCCTCCTTGTCACTGTTCCGCCATCTTACCCATCTCCAAGCCAGTGTGCTTCTGGAGGAGGGGCCCTCTAAGGTAGTGGAGCAGGGCGCGCCCTCCTCAGAAGAATCTAGGACTACGTCAAGGCCTGCCACCTGCTCAGAGGCTTAAATTTCTCTGCAAGGGACCTTGGCTAAATTAGGTAATGGGCTAGGACTCTGGAAGGGGTGGGGCTTGGTGACCCCAGGATCTGATTGGGCAAGATATCCAGTCCTGGGGAGCAGGGAGGTGGGAGGAGAGGGTGCCCCTACAAATCCTGGGGGCTGGAGTGGGCCAAAGCGTCTTTGGGTGGTGGAGTGGAGAGGAGGTGACCCACAGCAGAGGAGTCCCAGTGACCAGCAATCATGGTAAGGACAAGAAGGGACTTCCTTCCTGGCTTGCTAGAAGTCTCTGGGTCTCGTTCAGCCCGATCTGGGTGCACTGAGGGGCAGCTAGGGGTGTTGGAAGGTAGAACGTGAAGTTTCCTGGAACCCAGGTGTCTTGGAGAAATCCCAGGAAAAGGCCTTTGACTTTTCGTGGATGAGGAGGGCTGGGGTGGTCCAGGGTCGGATCCTCAGGGCCTAGATCCCCTGCCCACCTTCTGAGCTTCCAGCATTTGTAGAGCTAGGAGGGGGTCTTCGCTTGTCTCCTTCATAGTGGAGATTCGGACCCTGAGGGCCACAGTGAGTCGGCCAGCAGCCCTGTGGCAGGGGTGGGCTTTTGAAGCCCAGCCAAACCCTCCTGTCCTCTGGAGGATGGAAGGCCACAGGGTCTGGGGCTGGCTGTCTGAGAGGTGTTTACTCCAATGACCGAATGGCAGGAAGGAAGCTCAAGATCCCCATGTCTGCGAGTTCTCTGAGGGGAGGGACAATCTGTCCACCTCTTCTTGGTGGTCTCTGAGTCTCAGGGCTCCCAGGGTCCTGAGCATGATCAGAAGAAGCAAAAGGTGACAGACTAGAGTTAGAGAGCCCCCATCCTCCCAGAAGGGGTCTTGATTTGGGTTGTCATTCTCCTCTGAGGTCCCCTCCCTGCTTGGCTTCAAGGAGTAACTAGACCCCAGAGGCCAGCTGCTGTGCCCAGACCACCTAAAAATAGCCTGTCTTCCTGGCAGGGACCAGCAGAGGGGAGAAGGCGGGGGCGGGGAGAAGGAGGGGGCCAGGACCAGCTGGCCAAAGAACTCCTTGGATACCTCAGTGGTTCTTCACCACCAACCTCAGCCCAAAGCCCCTGACCCAGGAAGTCCCCACAGAAACTGTATTTTCACACCAAAGCCTCATAACATTTTGCCCAGTGTGAGAGGCATTCACTCCAATGACTGAGGTATGAGAAGGAAACCTAAAATTTCCCCATCTGCAAATTCCCTGAGGGGAGAGACTGTATGTCCATCTCTTCTTGGTGGTCTCAGTGTCTGGTCTAAGGCCTAACGCTTAGCAGGTGCTCAATAACTGTGTTGCATTATTATTCATTTGAGAACAAATGTTTATTGAGCAACTACTAAAGTACAAGCCACCATTAGGGGACAGGGGGAGATTGGAAGATCATGCTAGAGTGTACTGACAGGATGCCAAGCCCTTCATCACTCCTGATTTCATCTTACCCCTCAAAGTCACTTGAGAGGAAGGTATGCAAAGTGACTTGCCCAAGGTCGTTGGGGATTCCTGACCTGGCCTCCAATGGACAAATGAAAAGACCTTGGTGTGTTTTTTTTATTTAATTATTTTTTTTTCATTGTCCTTAGCACAGAATGTGCTGCTAGAAAACTCTGGGTCTCCTTCAGCCTGATCTGGGTGCACTGAGGGGCAGTTAGTGGGTGTCAGAAGATAAAATGTGAAGTTTCCTGGAACCCAGGTGTCTTGGAGAAATCCCAGGAAGTGTGTGCCAAGTTGGTCTTTAGGAGGACTCAGGGGCACTTCCCTACAGAAATGGGGATGGAGGCTGCGCTCAGTGGCCCATCCTCAAAACTCAGGAGGCTGAGGCAGGAGGATTGCAATTTTGAGGCCAGCTTCAGCAATTTAGGGGGGGCCCTGTCTCAAAAAATAAATAAATAAATAAAAAGGGCTGGGGTTGTGGCTCCGTGGTAGAAAGCCCCTGGGTTCAATCCCTAGTACTGCCCCCACACAAAACATAAAAATTTAAAAAGTGGAGGTCGAGGAGAACGGGGCTCAGGGGGACTCTGCTCCCTTCTGCTCTCTGACTCGCTCTGTCTTCTGCAGACGGACCAGCAGGCGGAGGCCCGGTCCTACCTCAGCGAGGAGATGATCGCTGGTGAGTGGGTTGGGCAGCTGTCGCCAGTGGGCGGCGGGTGTGTTGGGGAACGTTTTGGCCTCTGGGCAGCGTCAGCCTCGCCTCAGCCCCCCATTCTCCTTCCCCTGGCAGAGTTCAAGGCTGCCTTTGACATGTTTGATGCTGATGGTGGCGGGGACATCAGCGTCAAAGAGTTGGGCACCGTCATGAGGATGCTGGGCCAGACACCCACCAAAGAGGAGCTGGACGCCATCATCGAGGAGGTGGACGAGGACGGTAGGCGGGTGGCCCTCCGAGGCGGGGGCGGCGGGGAGAGCAGGCGGCCCGGCTGGGGCTCAGCGCGCCTGCTCCCTCAGGCAGCGGCACCATCGACTTCGAGGAGTTCTTGGTCATGATGGTGCGCCAGATGAAGGAGGACGCCAAGGGCAAGAGCGAGGAGGAGCTGGCCGAGTGTTTCCGCATCTTCGACAGGTGCGCGGGGACCTGGCGGCTCACCTGGGCGGGCCCCGGGGGGGGCTCGGGTGTCCGGTGGCCGAGGTAACCCAGGTAACCCGCGCCCTGCGCCCTGCGCCCACCCCGCAGGAACGCGGACGGCTACATCGACGCCGAGGAGCTGGCCGAGATCTTCCGGGCCTCTGGGGAGCACGTGACGGACGAGGAGATCGAATCCTTGATGAAAGACGGGGACAAGAACAACGACGGCCGCATTGACTTCGACGGTGAGGCCGCAGGGGCCACATGGAGCTCTGGGGCACGGTGCCAGTGCGGATGGCACTCACGCGGGTGCCCTTGGCCTTGTGGGTGGGCTGGGTGGGGCCGGCCAAGTCCCCTCCCAGCCCCGGGTGGCACCCTCTGCTGCCGTGAGGGACCGCAGACCCCCTTCCTCCCTTCCCGCAGAGTTCCTGAAGATGATGGAGGGTGTGCAGTAAGGAGCCGGCCGTCTGCCCCGAGACCGCGCGTCCCTCGGGCGCGGGCAGCGCCAGCCCACCGGTCGTCCCTGCCCCACCGGGAGGCGCGGCCCTTCTGACTGCGTCGGGAGGGAATAAAAGCACAAGTTGCAAAGCTCAGCTCGTGACATGAGTGACGGGGGGTGGACTGGGACCGCGGCTCTCGGGCCGCCTGGGTGGGATGCTGCACAGCAGTGCGGGCCCCGCCGCGGTGTGAGACCCAGGCGGCCGCGCGGCCAGGGTGGCTTGGGGTGCGCTCTGCGGGGTGCGCCCTGCCGGGTAGCCGCCGGCTCCGGGCCGCGGGCACTGGGCCAGCGGTTGCACCTGGCAGTGGAGGGGAGACCGCAGGGACTTGGAACGGAGTCCAGGGGAGCCGGTGGCACCAGGAGGGCGCCCAGGACGGCGGGTAGGGTGAAGGTGCGCTCCAGGGGAGAGGGGTGAAGTCTCTTCACTTCTCCACCGTCCTTCTTTTCTGGAACCTTTGGGTCTTGGGTGTCCGACTTGCCTCCTTCTGGGCCATCCGGCTGAGGAGGGTCGGGGTGTCCATCCATCCCAGCCAGCATTACTGCTGCTTGAACGACTTTGCTCTTCCAAGCTTCCTAGGTGCCTTGCTGTAGGGGAGGGTGGAGCGCCCAGAAGAGGTTGAGCCCATCATCTCGACCCAGGACCCCTATCTCGGTCTGCCTCCAGCTCCCTGCCTTCAGCCCGCTCCACAGCACTCCATAGAGGCCAATAGCATAATGGAGCAAAAATGAAATGGGCCCTGGCCACTCCCCCTCTGAAACGCTTCAAGGCTTTCCATAACTTTTAGAACCAGCTCCCAATTCCTCCCCTCCTCTCCCTCACAACCTTCCCACTACTCATTCCTGTGGACTAGGGCGCATTTCCAAGCCCCTGGCCTTTGCACATGCTGTTCTGACTCCTTAGAATGCTTTCCTCCTTCTTATAAATTCTTCATCTCACAACAAGATACCATCTCTGCGCTTGATCCCCACCCTGGCTGGCTAGGATATAGCTCCCAAAGCTCTTTGTCAACAACTCAGTTACAGCAGGTGCCCCCTTATAGCTAATTAAGTGTAGAGGAAGTTTAGCTGTAGAGCCAGGCTGAGTCTGAATCCTCACTGCCTTTGACAAATTAAGCCACTCTGCTTGTTTCCTCATCTGTAAATGAGGATAGTGATTAGTGCTAATCTCACAGGGTTTTAAGAATGAGTTCTTGTGTGCAATGTGCTTAGAATAGTGCCTGATACATAGTAAATATTTAAAAATGCTAGCCAGACTCAGTGGCGCACACCCAAAATCCCAGTGACTAGGGAGACAGAGGCAGGAGGATTGCAGGCGACCTTGGCATCTTAGCAAGAACCTGTCTGAAAATAAAGACAGGATGTGGCTCAGTGGTAAAGCTCCCCTGAGTTCAGTGCCCAGTACCAAAACACAAAAATAACAAACCCTCAAATATTATATGTAAGAAGAATATATATGATATATATGCTAGATATCATCATCATCATTCTTGAAATTGAACCCCACTGTTACTGTATTTTTTGCTACAGTCCTCCTTCTCCATTCCTGTCCTGTTTATTTCTTGTTTTTGTTCTATTCATATATTTCCCAGCTTGTATTTTCAGCCAGAAATTGGTGCTGGGGTTTGGTAACCATTAGTATTTATTGAGTGCCCACTCTGGGCTGTGCCCTTGCCTTATAGCCATTGTCTCATTCACCCACACAACACACCTAGAGGCAGATGCTGTTATTCCCACTTTACATTTGAGGAAATTAAATCCATGCCTTAAATGGATGAATCCTACTCCCCTCTGTCTGGTTCTCCTGTGTTCCCCATCTCAGGCTTGATACTGAGGATGGGGCCCAAGACAAGAATTCTGGCACTCAGTCTCCACCTCTAAAAGATCTAGCCCTATTACTTCCTTTTTTTTGGTGTTGGGGATTGAAATTGGGGGTGCTTTACCATGAGCTACATCCCAATCTCCCCCTTTTAAATTTTATTTATTTTTAGAGACAGAGTCTAAGTTGCTTAAGGCCTTGCTAATTTGTTGAGGCTGGCCTTGAACTCGGGATCCTTCACCTCAGCCTCCAGAGTCCCAGCATGTGCCACTGCAAGCTGGCCTCAAGCTTTTAGTCCGCCTGCCTCAGCTTCCTGCGGTGCTGGATTACAGGCCTGCACCACCACCTCAGCATTTAATTAGAACCAGTTTAGCACCAGGTTCTGAGCTTTGCTTTCCCAGGCATCCTCTGAGTGACTTTGACAATTGAAAGCATCAGAACCTGGAAAGCTTGTTGGGAACTAGAATTGGCTCTTCTAACAAGTTCCAGGGGGGTGCCCTTGCTCCTGGAAGAACCACACATCAAAAGGCAACCCTGCCCCTTCAAAATTTGCATTAAAAAAAAATCACACATATTTTTAGTTGTGAATGAAACTTTATTTTTATGTGGTGCTGAGAATCGAATCCAGTGCCTCACATGTGCTAGGCAAGTGATCTACCACTGAGCCCCAGCCCCCAAATTTGCATTTTAACAAGATCCTTGGTAGGTCTCTATGTATGTTAAATTGAGAAAGCTCTATGCATAAGAGAGAACTGAACACAGTTTCAGACAGAGGACACTCAAGTTCTTATCCCAGACCCGACAACTTCAATTCCTTTTACCTATGGCTGCTTGATGGGGAACCCAGGGCAAAGAAGGACCTTGGCCAACAAGAGTCAAAGAGGTGGGTGAAAATCATCGCGACAGGCACCAGGCTGGGTGCTGAGGCAGAGACCCAGGCGGGTTGGAGCAACTGGGATGCTGCCATCTACCTTGCTGCAGGGCCTGGGCTGGGCCCATCACCTCAGGCTGCTCTTCTTCCCAGTGCTTGCCCCTGCAGGGACCCAGCAGGTCTGCATGGACATTTCCTTCCAGGGGTCCCAAGGCCAGATCCTGATATAAGCCAGAGGAAAGGTAACCTAAACAGTTGGGGACCTGGGTACAGCAGATGGAGGAGCCGCTAGTGGAGATGGAGCAGGAAGTGAATGTGCCCCTCTGGAGCTTTCCATGGGGACCTGGGGATTCCCACAGTGGGAGGGCATTCCCTGGTGGTCTCCCCAGACTCTGCACTTGCTATAGGGTAACCCGAGTTTTATTCTTCAGGGCCATAACAGCTGTCACAGAGTGGGTGGCAGGCCCTCCCCTCTCTGAGGGCACAGACAGGTGTACCCTTCAGTCTAAGGCCTGGTTTGCCTCATCAACACAGCTGGGCCACCCCAATGCCGACGTTCCTGGTGCCTGCCATGGCTATTTTGGTGCTGGGGATTGAAGCCAGGGCCTTGTACCTGCTAAGCAGGCACTCTACCACCAAGCTACACCCCCAGCCAACAGGCATTATTGTGACATATTTTATAGATGAACAAACAGTGGTAAAATAACTAAGGTCACAAATTGCCCCTCAGCCTGTCAGCTGCTTCAACCCCTGTAACAGGGCAAGAGTCCCTGTCTTAAGCCAGACCTCTGCCTGCTCCGAGCACCTCCAACCCAAGGGTAATTACAAGGCAGCAACTTTACAAAAACCAACCAAAATGTATTTATTTAATATACATCGCAGGGGCTCAACCACACTTAATTTAAAAGACAGAAACAAAACAAAAATAATACCACAGCTCAAGATACATAGTCCTATACAAGAACCAAGAAGAGGACAGGCTACCTAAGGAGAAATCAACAGAGAGCTGGACAACCCCGGTCAGGGCTCCTGGCTGGAGACCTGCTTCGAGTAGGTTTCTTGCAGGTACTTCTTAAAAGCTGGAAGAGAAAGGCAGGTCTCGGGTGAGTGACTGGAGACAGGAGAGCCCGTGAGGTGGCCAGAGGGCAGCTGACCGGGAAGCACACTCGAGGTGCACCTTGGGAGGGACTGTTCTGCCCTCACAGGAGACATCGTCTCCTGATGGACTTGCTTCCAGTAAGATGGGGAGGGTGCCAGTGACCCATTCTACCAAAGGCCCCTCAAGTTCCATGAACAAGGAGGGGACTAACTTGTCACTTTAGAATGCACCAAGGCTGATCAGAAGTGGTCGCCATCCTTTCCCCTCAGCCCACCCACTGAGCTCCTTCTGAGGGATCATCCCATATTCAAGAAGGACCTACCTGTGGGGTTTTTCCAGAGCTCAGCAGCATGTGTGTTCAGAGGGCTGTCGATGTTGGGTTCTGTGGGGGAGAGAGAATGGTCAGGGGTAGAAGAGGCCGACCCACAGAAAGCCTGACAGGCCCCTGTTGACAGGAAGGGGTGGTCTCAGAAGTCACCTCCTAACAGGCTCTGGATGGACAGCAGGATGGTCCTGACGTCATACAGGGCAGACCACTTGTCCTTGAGGATGTCCAGGCAGATGTTGCCCTGAGTGTCCACGTTGGGGTGGTAGCAGGGTGTGAGGAACTTCACTGTGGGAGCGTTGTAGGGGTAGCCACTGGGGAACTCTAAGGACAGCTTGTACCTCAGGTCTTCATACACCTGGTGTTGGAAGGAGAGGAAGAAGTAAGCAGCTTGCCCTGTCCTCACGCCCAATCCAGGCCACCCAGGGGCTCGCCAGGGAGGGCCTTCTGAAGTTTTGTCTGAGACTGGACAGTAGACAAATTGTTTCATTGGCTCTGGGGTCTTCCTCTTATCTGAGGGGGACATCAGTGACCCTTCAGTATAAATGTTACCCATTGGCATCCCGAGGGCTGCCACAGATGTGTCTCAGTTGCTAACGTGAAAAAACTGGATTGACACAGATCTGGATTTCCAAGTTTTTTTTTTTTTTGCATTGGGGATTTAACCCAGGGGTGCTTTACCACTGAGCCACATCCCCAGGCTCTACCCCTGCTTTTTAAATTACGATAGTTTTAAATTTTGAGACAGGGCCATGCTAAGTTGCTGGGGTTGGCCTGAAACTATTGCCTCAGCCTCCCAGGTTCATGGGATTATAGGCAAGTGCCACCATGCCTGGTCTGAGTTATCTTTTTTTTTTTTTGGTACCAGAGATTGAACTCAGGGGCACTTGACCACTAGACCACATCAAGCCCTATTTTTATTTAGAGAGAAGGTCTCACTGAGTTGCTTAGCATCTCACTTTTTTCAGAGACTGGCCTTGAACCTGCAATCCTCCTATCTCAGCCTCCCAAGTTGCTGGGATTATAGGCATGTGCCACCACGCCTGGCTGGTTATCTTAAACCAGATGTGCAGCAATGGGAAGTTGCCTTTTTGAGACTTGTGCCATCACACTAGCCAGTGTTTGCTGTTACTTCACTGTTGTCTGGTCCCTTGGACAGTTTTGCTTTAAACCTACCCTTTCATTGCACAGAGGAGATAACAAGGTCATCACAAGGCCCAGAGCTTGTGAACAAACACAAGGGAACTCTCTCGCCCAGCTAACAGACTGAAGCAGACCTGGCACTTGGATCTCACCTCCTATCTTCCCCCAAACTCAGCAAAGTGACACTCATCCACTCCAACCCTATACTTACTGTGCCAGCTGCTCCATGGATGGTCCCTACCCATTTGAAAAGATTGTCTGATTCAGGGAAGGCAGAAATTCCTTTGTCACCAGACATCTGGGGAGGAAACACAACACTTGCTGATTTGCAGCGTATACTTTAGGGCATAGCAAAGGTCAGTGGGTGATCCCCTGCCCTGATCTCCTCATACTCTGATCTCAAATTGAGCCACCAAACCCAACCAACAGATACATCACCAGGTTAGGGAGGGAGAGGTAGTAAGGGAAGCAGAGGCCAACTCTGCATTTGTTGCTAATAATTCAAATATACGATATTGGAAATATGTTCAAAAGTTTTGAAATGAGTATTTAGCGATAAATTAGCAAAGGACAACTAGGAAGGGAGAATCCCAAGGTAAGACCGGACTAGAAATACCAAGGTGGGGAGTTGGGGGTGGGTAAAAGGGTTAAGCTTGTGGCCAGGAGGTAGGGAAAAGCGGCAGAACGGGGAAGGACTTGTATGCCTTGTGGGGGGGCTAGAACTGCTGTAAGAAAAGGTACAGGTGGGAGTATAAATGGCTTCCTGGAAAAATTATGCTGAACCTTTTTACCTAGCAAGGAGTCTGATTGATAGAGGAAGGACGCTACTGATAAGTGGGTGGAGATGGGAGAACGCACCAATTGACTGGAATCTCATAGCACTTAGTCACTTACCATGAGGGTCATCAGCTCCTGCTGTAGCCTGCAAAAAGAATTCAGAGTCACCTGGAAGTCTGGATGGGTCAGTTTTCCAGGTGGAGCATCTTCTCCTGTTGGAATTGCTCCGAGCAGCTGTCATGCAGGCCTCCCCCTTCTCCCAGGTCTGACTCATCATCCCCACAGGAGGACCCTGGTGAGCTTTCACCCTTCTTAATTCCCGGCTCCTGCAGTTTGACTCTGGCATGCTCTTAACCCTCACTACTCTGGCGTCTTCTGGGAGAATCCTGGCAGCGTACTTACCCTCCCGTCTTCCCTCAGGAGTCTCAAAAAGCAGCCTAAGTTCCTGGCGTGGCCCCTCACCTACCCACCCGCTCCGGGACGGGGGCAGAAGGAAGCCCAGGCCATGAGCTCCTGGCGGGTGCTCCCGCCTTCGTGTATGTACCCGCTCCAGGAGGAGGGGGTCCCGGAAGTCTTCGCTCTGGGTCCCCATGCCAAGGACATGCCAGGCCGGGCGAGCGTTACTTCCGCCCCACTCACCTCTTGCCCACAGGGCCCCGGGCGGCGCCCCCGCTGGGCTCGGCTCCTTTACGCGCTGCAGCGACGCTGGCGGCGGCTGGGTCCCGGTTTTGCGAGGCCATCCCAGCAGCGCTGGTAGGGAGACAGGAACTCGGAGAACAGGACGGCAACTGCAGGGCTGCGGGCCCGCCCGCCCGCGTTTGAATTGTAACCCTCCGGTAAGGTCGGCCAATCCTAGGCTCGCTTGGGTTTGATCCAGCCAATGCGAGGCGCCGGAGCGCTCTGTCACTGCGCAACCGCTAGGCCCGCCCATCAGCGCATCACTATTGGGCGGCGGTGGTTCTGCCGCTGAAGGCCGATTGGCAGGAGACGCTGCCGCTAACTAACGAACCTGCAGTGGATTGGTGGCCTTTGGAAAACGCCGACCATTAAAGGGCCAAGAAAACGTCCACGTGGGATGAGGCTTAAGGTCAACGCCTAGCTCTGCTGGGAAATAGCAGGCACGCCTGGCCCGATCCCTTCTTCCTGGAGGAGGTAGGGCCTCCAGCCTTGCAGCGCTGGTGCCCTTCCCCAAACCGAAGACTTTGCTCCCCCTATTACAATGCCCCGGATGCCTTTGTTGGAGTCCCAAGTTACTTGAAAATCCTAGGAAACGGTGAATGGGCTGATGTTTAGAACAGCAGACTCCCTACTAGAGAATTTATCATGCCTCTCCAACTGGTTTGCTGTGACTTTGGGCCCGCCTGGATTTAACCCAGGCACTCTACCATTGAGCTACATCTCCTCCCCTCCCCCGCCTTTTAAGATAAGGTCTTCTTAAAATTACCGCTGGAATTTAAGATTCTTCTGCCTTAGCCTCCTGAGTAGCTGGGATTATAGGCGTGCACTACTGCGCCCCGCCCTGTTTTAACCTGTAATCCCAGCGGCTCAGGAGGCTGAGGGTGGAGGATCTCAAATTCAAAACCAGCCTCAGTAATTTAGCGAGGCCCTAAACAGCTTAGTGAGACTCCATCTCAAAAAAAAAAAAAAAAAAACAAAAAACAACAACAACAAAAACAACCCCAAAAACAAAAACCCTAAGGTGGGGATGAGGATGTATGTAGCTCAGCTAGTTAAGTAGGAACAAAGCATGTGCAAGGCCCAGGGTTCAATCCCCAGCACCCCCTCGGCCCAACACACAGGTACACACACAAAACAACCAAATCAAAAACGAACAAAAAAAGCTGGGTGTAGTGATGCATCCCTGTAATCACAGTGGCTGTGGAGGCTGAGGCTAGAAGACTGCAAGTTCAGATCCAACCTCATCAACTTAGGCCCTAAGCAACTTAGTGAGACCCTGTCTCAAAATGAAAAATAATAAGGGCTAGGGGTGTGGCTCAGTGGTTAAGCGCCCCTGGGTCCAATCACGGGTACCAAAAACAAACACAAGCCATCACATTCTGCCACATTCGTGCATTAGTTGGAAAAAAACCCCTAGAAACCAGGAACAAGGAAGGATGGCAAAGAATATGTTCCCAGTTTTGTCTTCTAGAACCTGGGTCAATGAGATGGGGGAAAAGTACTTGTCCTTTTTTTTTCCTGCACCCACTTCCAGAGCCCTTGATGTGCTGTCAGCCCCCCCAAGGCAGACTACACAGCAGGCTCACCATCTGTGTTTATTACAAACTGTTTTAATTGCTTCTTATCCCAATAACTTTACAAATATAGAACCATATGCCAGTCTGGGGGTGCTCTGCAGTGAGTCACTACAAATTGGCCCATGCACAGCTTAATGCCGCTGAGATCCACCTAGGAAGAGACCCAGTGGTGGCCTCAGCTGTGTGGGGAAGAGGGTCTTAGAGGTGGGCTGCCAAATGTAGCCAGGGGTCCTGGCCTCAGGTCTGTGGAGGTGCTTCAGCAGTGCGATGCTCATTCTCTGTCCGTAGTGTCTCCATGTACTTTCGCATCTTCTCAACCATCCAGGAGGGTAGGACAAAGGACTTCAGCTCCTCTAACTTCAGATCCAGGCATCCTCTAGAATAGACATTGAGGAGGAAAGTTAAAGCAAGGGAAGATGTGGGCCTCGCCCAATCCCAGGGGCCACTTTTGAGGCAGAGGAGAGGGTGGGGGGCAGAAGACCTGCTGGCTTTACCTGTAGTCATCACTGGCAGCAAGATCCCGGATGTCCTCCTCGATGAGGAGGTAGGCCTGCCAGGAAGAAAGGAGAATGGCAAATGCCTGTTTCATTTTATGCCACCTTGATAACACTTTACTAAACATGTTGTGCCTGCTTCAGTAGGGAAGAGTAAGTATGGAAAGACTGTCAGGAGAATGGTTCCTTGAGAAAATCTTTCACTCACATACAAACTTTAGTGGGGGAGAATAGGGACTGGTGACTATTTTTTAAATAAAAAGAATTTCTTTTTGAGATGGGGGGTTTGTTTTGTTTTTGTTTTTATGGTGCAGAGGATTGAACCTAGGGCGTCATACATGGTAGGCAAGTGCTGCATTCCTAGCCCCAAGATAGGGATACGCCACGTTGCCTAGTTGCCTAGGCTGGCCCTAAATTCCCGGATTCAAACGATCCTCCTGCCTTAGCTTCCTAGGTAATACAGGCACACACCACCTCCTGGGGCTTCTGGTGACTTAATTTATTTAGGGCCTTTCCTGTTTTAAGAAAGGTGTCGAGTAGAACTATAACAAAATGGTAAGAGAGTGGCAAAATATACTTGGAAACAGAAGGAGGAAGCTATTTGCTAACTGGCAATTAAGATAACTTGGTTTTGAGCTTTGTGGCAAAAGAGAGAACATGATAAATAGCACTGTGGTCTAGTAATGGGGCTGCACTGTACTGCCCTGGGCCCTGTAGAATGGCATTGCCCACTGTGGTCTGCAGGGGGCCAGGGTCCTCTTGTGAGCTCACCTTACAGGGGATGTTATTCACCATAGAAGAAACTCTTCTGTGGGACACTCTGGATCCAGTCTTAGGGTCAGGACTAATTGTGAGTCCCTTAAGTACTTTGCCTTCATCTTGTGGGTTCTGTGAACTATGTAACAGATCAGGTGTCCTTGAAAGGGGCCTAGAGATGAATCCACAACTACTCAAAGAAGGTCTCCCAGGTCAGCAACGGGAAAAAACCCAACTTGTCCCTAAACTACTCTTGGTGGGTGGCTTAACTTTAGGTTCTGTTCCCGTTACCCATCAATTTATTATTATTATTTATATATAAGTAGGAAGTTCCCTTAAATATTTTGTGAAATGAAGTGTGGGCACAGTATACAATAAAATAAAAGTAGCTTTCATTGTCAGAAAGGAGATGGCACACCAGTTTACAAGGCCTTTAGATTCTATCAGGAGCGGTCCCAGTAGACGGACTGAGTCATCAGGTGACATTGCATGTGATGGGCAAAGCCCTACAAATTATTTTAGGATATATACCACAACAGCTTTCCTAAGGTTACTGCTCGATTTAACTGAGAACTCTTAGAATGGAAGCGAGCCTGGAAGGGGCTGCCGGGCATGGCACACATTTCATTGCATGTGCAAACTCCTACTGACAACGAGTGTTGCCTGGAGTACTGTGTTGAGAAGATTCTAGAGCTGTTTAGAAGAAGACTGTGGTGATCAATGAGTTAAATCCACCCATGGGCAGGCAAGGGAAAAGTACTATGAAGTATTAAACTGCCCATTCCTATGCACAACTAATTCGATCCAAAAAAAGTGGTCTTGGAAATGGGTGGGAGGGAAAGTGAGGAGCTAAAGAACACTACCGATAGGGAAGGGAACACAGGGATTACGGTCTGCTCTTGAGCACAAAGCAATGGGCCTAGTATGTCCCTTGCCACATCCTTAAGGTTTAGGAAATCTTTCAGACTTTGAAGGTAAGCTGTCACCAATAGCCAGAATCCTGGTCCTTGTGCAGGGTGGGCCTTGAGCAGTATGTGAGTGAACAAGACTTACCATCTTCCCGCCTGTTGCCCGCATGTGATGCTGCTCAGCCAGCCAGTGCTTGTCCTGGGGGTCAGCTGCATACTGTGAGGGATGAAGTTACAGGAGGAGACATTAGCCTCGTGTGAAGGGCTTTCCTCCTGGCCCCTGAGCAGTTCTTACCACAAGACCTTGTCTAGCATGTACATAAAGAGGCCTCACTAATCTCCAGAGTAAGCCCAGGCAGCCAGGGATTGTGAACTAATCCCAGAGATTTAATAATATACTCCGAATCCTCACACGCTTCCTTTCTCAAAACATAGAATCAATTTTTGGGTGAAAAAAATAAAACCAGAGACAACTATGTAAAGTATCATCTGAATAAGTAAAATATCAGTAAAGGACAAGAACACAGGCATGCACACTATGCCTGCACACACACTCTAGGCACATGCTTGCAGAGAAGGATATGTACCACTGTGGTTGCTGGTGACCTCAGGGAGGGAAGACAGAGTCAGGAGTGAGGGGCACTTGTGTCTTATTCCCTATTACCTCCTGTGTATTGCTTGAATCTTTTAATGAGAAGAATGAATTTATATCTCTGTGATTACAAAGTTTAAAAGAGGAAGTGAAGAATTCAAATAATGTCTTTTGAAGGATGGAAAAATGGGCCAAAATGTACTAAGCAGTTTACAGAACAAATACAAATAGATTGTAAATGACTAAAAAGATGCTTATGATCACTAACAGAGAACTGTGAAGGAAAACAATAAAAAGTTTCCCTTCATTTATTAGAATGAAAAAATAAAAAAAAAGAGGTAACACCCACTGTAAAGTGAAAGGGGGTTGGGGGCTTATTATAGAAAATAGATCTTAGAATTGGGGAACTATGCTAATAAAAATGATTAACACTTGCTGAGTCCCTTTCTATGTGACAGGATTATGCTGGGTGCTTTACTACATTCTCTCTTAATTAACCCCAAGAGGTTGGTCTATCATCATTCTCATTTTACATTCTGTATATGACAAAACAGACTCAGAAATGTGGAGCCATTTGCTTAAGGTCACATGGCTGAGCTGGTAAGTATAGAACCCGGATTGAAATCATACTCTTAACCACGTTGATGGGAATTCACAGCAAGTCCCAGAGAATATCCATCTAGGGGAGGACACAAGTAGGGTTCTTGGGGGAGGCAGATGTTAAATAACAGGAAGATAAAGTGGAGGAGAAAGGTCTTCTGGGTAAAGGGAACAGCAGAAGTAAAGACACTAAGGAAAATAAAGAAGTAGCAAGTAG